AAATAATACATTAAAAATAAAGTAACATCACATGGATTTTAGCAGTTTGTGGAATAGCTAATTAATTTTATTTAGGATTTAGAATAATGCTGTAAGCCATCCAGAGACGACAGTGATGGATGGCCTATAAATTTCCTATATAAATAAATTTGTAGGCCCTTTCCAGACATTCCTGATTTCCTAAACCATTGTTCCCAGTTTCTCCCTTGCTTCCTTTCCACATGTACTCGCTTTGACAGTGCTGCAAGTCCCTGTTGTTATATCTGAAATGGGGAACTATGGCTTAGTGTTGATTTACTTACCACAGTTCACCTGTGGTTAGTAACCTGCCATTAAAGCACAGTGTCCCTGTATCAGAGAACTGAGGTTTAAAGAAATCACATTTGCTATGTCAAAGGAGATAGGAGAATGCACAGGCCCAGTGCTGTTCATGGCTTAATAAAATATGGTCTGTTATTAGGGAATAATATAACCAAACCAGCCCAAATGTTTGATGAAATATAAAATCTTCCAACCTTTCCAGAAGCATGTGAACCTTTGTAGTGGCGGCACCCTGGCCATGGAATTCACTTCCAGCAGAGATTTGGTTGTCCCTCAACACTGTTGTCATTTAGGCATCAATTACTGAAGACTTACTTATTTGTGCAGAATGTGAGAATATAAACAGTTTGGGGATATTGATTGATTAGCAGTGTTAATAGTTGTGTTTTATTATAAATTTATGAGTTTAGAGTTTTAATTTGAATGTCTATGTGGTTGCTGTTCATTACATAGCTTGTTAGCCACCCTGGGCTCTTTGTAAGAGAGGGTGAGAGAGAAATCAAAGAAATAAACTTTTCAGAAATACAGAAACGAAGGTTTCATAACCTCTGTGGACAGAAGTTCCAAAGCTCTGGGGCTAGAACAGAAAAGCTTTGCACCAAGCTACTGCCCTTTGAAGCTGTTGTGTGGATAGAGCAAACAGCATGGCCTGCGGATTACATCCTGGTTGGCAATTGGGCTCATACAGCATGAGAATGCAGGGCTTTAAAATGCTTTTGCATCTCGCCACATTTTCCCATCTGATTTTGTATGAACTGTTTTGGGACCAGCAACAAGCCAATGTAATTCCCATAGCCCTTTCATTAGAAGAAATGTCTTTCTCAAGTTACTCCGTAAATGATGGAGGCCTACAGACTTTGTGCTTAGTCTAGGCCTTAATCACATAATGTTTCCCAAACAGGAGCCCACCCATCTTTCCTTCCACTTCTTTTAGTCCCTGCCAAAACCACCTACGTTCTTTAACCTCTGAATTTGCTGCATTGACCTGGTGTCCTCTTCTTGCCCCAGTTGGTTGCTTTGCACGGAGTTCTCTGTAAGTATGTGTGGAAGCGTAACCGCTGCTTCAATAAGCCATCCTTTGTATTCCTTCTGGCCATAAGTTATGGTTTGGCCTATGTATTATTTTTACTTTTGGTGTGCATAGTATATTTACTTTAATTTACCCCTAAATTTAGAGGAGCACATAATGGATATAACTACTCCTGGTGAGTTCATTTGCCCGCACAAGACATATTATGAGAAAATTGCTATGCCCATTTTAGAAAAATGCCCCAGAAACATATAGTTAGTTACGCTAGTTTTAAAAGAATACAAACACTATTCTTCAGAAGCACCCAATGGTTGTGTCTTTTATAAGTGTTATTTGCTTTTGTTTACTTTAATAAAGCTTAATCTCCTTTGTTCTGATGGCAAGCATAGGGCTCACAGAGGTATTTTGAACAGTTGCTTCTCTTTCAAGTAGCAACTTGAAATGTGTGTGAGCACGTACATGCAGAGTAACTGGCATTAGATGCTAGTTAGCATTAGATCTGCTTCTTTGTGAAATCAGTCCGTGAGCTTTCCGTGCTCAATTCAAATTAAAAATCAAAATTGCCAGAGGAGAAATATAATTGCTACTTGGGATGTAGGCAGAGGAAGAAGGGAATCAAATGAGATTACCTGCTGTCCTGTAGTCTTCCAAATGGCAGTCTCCTCACAGGTGGTCTGCCTTTTTGACCTAGATTGTAAGTTCTACAGGATAGCAGAGTTTCTGAATGGGTAGTTATGGAAATTTGTCCAGAGTTCTTCACTTGCCTCCCCTGAATAATGACCATTTGAACAGGCAGTGTATTTGGCTTGGATTTGGGCTGCTATAAGGTATAAATCAAGATCTGGAAAATCTGCACTGAAGTCTGATAATTAACTTAAGGTGTGGCAAGACCATAGAGGGCTGCTTTCCAGAATGTTGCCCACCATTTATATAACAGCCTTCCCAATCTGTTTACCAAATGTTTTGGATTACAGCTCTGATTTTCCCCAGGCAACATGATCATACTGGCTAGGAATGATAGGTGTATAGTTGAATATTTGTAGAAGGTGTCAGGTTGGGGAAGGCTTGTGTATGCAGCGGAAGACTCAACCAGTGTCATCCCAGATTGTCCATTTCTTTTGGGTTTAAGAAGTAAGATGGTCCTGTTTTCAAGACATTTCTGCCTTCACAGCCTTATACTTATCATTAGTGGATATCCAGTTATATATATCTGGCTACCCACTAATGATGGATGGCAAGCTATATATATAGCTTGCCATCCATGCATTAGATCTGAGCAAAGTCTTGGCATTTGGAAAACAGCAACAACACGCCATTCAATGGCATTCCCTCCTCCTCCTGTCACATGTAGTCAGATAGTTTTTGCAGGTACAATGGGCAAACTGTGTGTGTGACTCATTGCAGAAAATTGTGCTTGCATCTGTTAGTTCACAGAAATTTCAGACCCCATCCTGTTATTGTAAAATGTAAATATTTGGGAGGAAGGTACAGTATTCAGTTTTCCTGATCACTGGAGAGCGTCTTGCCATTTTCATCATGCCATTTTGTGTTGCTGCTTTGGCCACCTGATAGTCTAGAAAATCGATTGTCAGATTGGCCAAAGCAGCAAAGATCTTTCTATTTTAAGAAATGCTTTATGAAGTTCCCCCATTCTTAATTCATGTTTCACTCAGCAGCCTCTGAAAAGATATTGCTGCACTGGTATAGCCTCTCTCTGGGAATAGTCTCTTCTGGGCCTGCTTTGGAGTCTAAAAGCCATCTTTTTTCAGAGTGAATGTGTAGTGTGACAAGAACTTTTACAGAATGGGAGGACTAACCATCTGCAGCATTCTACAGTTTCAGCACATGCCCCTGCCCCAATTACATCCTGTACCAAATATTTCTTAGGTGCAGGTAACAGATTCCAGAAGAAAGCTTTTCCACTGCCTTCCTGCTCTGTAAGTTTTCTCACTTTACACTTTCTCCTTTAAACCAAGGAGGAGGGGCTGAGAGAGAGAGAAAGAACATTAGTTCTTGGTCAAATGATTGCCTGTCCAGCTACTATAGTGAAAAGAAGAGAGGTTTGCCACATTTGCCTTGCAGGCTTCGACTTGTCTCTCCCCTGCCCCCCTGCCTCACCCTCCTGTTGTTTGTGTCAGCTCCGTGTTGGCGGCATCAGAGGCTCCCAAGCTTTCATGCAGAGAATGCATGCAGAAAAAATGGAGTGTGTTTGAAAACACGCGTCTTTGAGATGTCAAAATAGTCAAACCAGGGTGGGTGGCTCATGCACGACAGAGTATACAATTACCTCTTTAAGTTTTTGAAGATCCTTGGCTCATCCTTGCATAGGATTATCCTCTCTTTCTCTCTCTCCACCCTGCCCCCACTCCCTTGTGTATGTGTCTGTATATATACTGAATGACAGAGAATACTTTCCATATTTGTGTGTATTAAAACACAGGCTGGCAAATCTATGTTATACTTACCCAGCTTGGTTCCTTCCAGATGAGATGCACTACAACATCCATTGCCCCAGAAAGTGGACCAGCTTGCTGAAGTGATGGGAAGTGTAGTCCAACACATCTGGAAGTCTCACAGCTGGGAAGGACTACTATACAGCCTTTCTAGAGGAAAAGCTGGAGCAGTAAATATAGTGCAGGCCATGGCCAGATGAAAGGATGTTGGAGCCCCGTCTTGAACTCTGCGGTCACCCTCCCGATGGCGTGTCTGTCAGCATTCTTTTCTGCCCACCACATTCCACCCTTGATTGCTTCTTCATGGTAGAGAATGAACGATTATGCTTCTCATGTGAAGCAGTATTCTTGAGAGAAAATGCGGAGCTGAGGAATTCTGCTACTTTCAGGTCCCACTCTCTCTATTTTTATCTCCCTATTTTGTCCTCTAGTTACTGACTTCCAGCTTTCCTGCTTTGTCTGCTAGAGCTGCCTACGTTCATGGTAGCTCCTGCTTGTTTGTGGCATTCCAGGACATGATGTAGGGAAGCCGGTGTCCTTCCTTCAAAGCCAGCTCAGATGTCTGTTGTTGGACTTGGAGCAACCTGTCCAGTACATGTCTGAGTTGGAAGCCTGCAGATGCAAAACCTGGCTTACAAGTTCCTTCGGTTTTCATGGTGGGAGTCGCCTGTATGAAAGTGTTGCATATACAACTTACTAAATAAAGCACCCCGTACTCAAAACTTTTGGAATGTGCTTGAAGTAAGTGATCCTGAGCTTTTACTGATGGTGAATCTAGAGCCTCATAGTTCTAGTCATAAGAATCAGATGATAATCTTGGGTTCATGTCTCATGGTTAATTGGCTTCATTAACCAATTAAGATAACACTGGTGGCATACAGTTAGGTTTGTAGAGTTCAGTTCATATAGGTGAGCAACTCATTTCTAGGGCTCAGCACATTTTGCTGCTATGCCAAATTCTGGTGAGGTTTGATTATGTGGTTTTAAAAGAAATGTAGAGATGTTCAAGAAACCTCCTATAACGCTTGTTCTTTCACATGTTTTTGTGCCTGTTTGCAGCTGTTGTTGCTCTGATTGATTCATTTCTGGCATTTCTGCTTCATTTCATCCCCCGCCTCAAAAAAAAAAAAAAAAAAAAACCAACGCCAAAAAAACTTGCTGCATGAAGCTAACTCGTTGGGGACCAGGCACCGAGCATGGATGATGTCATGGCACCACACAATCACATAGCACCTGGCTATGTGATGGCATCACAGACAGCAAGTGAAGGGCAAGGCAAAACAACTCTGTTGCCCAAACAGTACAGTGATACTGCTTGCTGTGCCATGTTGCCATGGCAGTTTCTTTGCCTGTTGAACAACATGGCAAGATATTTGTCTTAATCCAGCTCTCACTGATTGTTAACACACATCCCTAGTTGGGAAAGGAAGAACATACAACACGATTGTGAAATGAGCTTCACAGAGAGGCTTGTTTGATGCCTATATTGTGATTATTTCAGCACCAGGTGTAGGCCTTTCTATTTTCCCAGGCCTTTTGGTTTTCCAGTTTCTGCTTTAAAATGAGTACTGTATTTCAAATCTGTGCAAAGCTGCTAGGTTCTATATGGCTATTATTTTTATTTTTTATGTTATAGCTTTAAAGTGTTTGAATATTTATGTTGCATTTTCATCATTTTGTATTTTTTGGATTTTTTATGATCTGTTCAGAGAACTACTGGCTGTTGGCCAGTATAGAACTGTAATAAATAAACCCAAGTGCACGTCCTACTGAAAGTGGTGCAGATGGACCACAACCGTCGTGCTGCTCCTCCTTATCCACCTATAGCCCCATCCAGTCATCAAAACCTGGTGTGAGGAAGCCTCAGGAACAGGAACATTTCTTTCTTCCCTTTCTTCCCACCCAACATGGCTTAAAGGAGTACAGTCTTTGCAAAAGGGAGACACTTTTCAGGAGGAGAAAATTGCTTTGAAATGTTTCAACTCGGCACCAGTCATCTCCATACACCCATCACACTTTGTTCACTCTAGGAAGGGGTACATGTTGACTATGAACACAAGAAATGGGACAACGGATCAGTATCCTGTGGACTCAGGGCCTGTCTGCTTTTTTCAATCCATCATCTGGAAGAGAACCCCTTTTGGTCTCTTTGTTTGTTTGTTTATTTATTTATTAGAACATTTCTATTTTTCTCCTTCCAGGGGAAAAAAACTCTAGGCAATGGTCTTATGATTTGGCTGTAATACCCACCCACTTGCTGGCACCTCCAGTGTGGTTTGATATGGGTATTTTTAATTTGTATTGGCTTGCCTTGCTAATTTGAACTTTTGTCTTCTTTTTTCCAATGTAGCTTTGACAGTGAGATTCATCACCAAGCGATTTATCGGTGATTATGACCCAACTCTAGGTATGTGCAGCCCGCTTTCCTATTCTATGCCAAATCAGGGTGTGGGTAGCTGTTGTTTTTGCAGAGATACTCAATGCTAAAAGCAATAGATATTTAGCTCTTATGAGGCTTGGGGGAAGAGCAGAGGGTGATAGCTAAGTGGCAGATAGCTTGCTGCTTTGCATGCAAAAGGGCCTGGGTTCCATCCCCAGCCACTCAAGTTGGGGCTGGGAAAGGTTCCCATTTGAGACCCTGAACTCACCTCTCAGTGAGTGTCGCTCAAGAGTAGGGCATCCAGATGCTGCTGGATGGCATTTCCTATCCGCCCTAGCTAGTGCAGCCAACAGTGAGTTGATGGGAGTTGCAGTCCAAAAACATCCGGAAGGCCACAAGTGGCCTGTCCCCAGTGTAGATAGTACTAAGCTACCTGGAGTCGTGGGATCTGATGCAGTGTCCCAATTTGCCCAAGTGCAGGGTGGCTGAGCCACCAAGACTTAGCAGAATTACCCTCAGCAGCACAGCTTGGCCAGGTTGCTTGGCTTGTTGGCTTGGCTTGTTGCTTGTTGCTTTAGAACTGTAAAGTTCTGGAGTGGCCTGTTAACCACAGCACCAAGCAACTCTAGACTCATTTGCATGCCAAGCAGGGTCAGGCCTGGTAGAAATCTGGGTGGGCAACTCAAATGTTGCGAACCTCCCACAGAGCTTTGCCTATGGATGGTGTAGAATTGTAAATTGCTGCAAAGGGCAATCAGGCAAATCCCCCTGCATGCAGCCAGGCTGTGCCGCAGGCAGGAGAAATAGCCACCACGGCTTATTTCCTCCAGGGTGATCTTCTGAACTTGGCTAGGATAAATCAGCTTCCTACATTCTTAATTTAGTGATGGAGTAGGGCAAGGGGGACTAGAGGGGGCCAATTAGTTATCGCTTACATATGTCAAGAAACTCATTGGTGGAAATCATGATGAGGACAGAAATGATGAGGATGATTATATCCTGCTCGTCTACCTAGAGCAGTGTATAGTGCCATCTTAAAACTACACAGTGTAGTTAAGTAGGAAGTATTCCTTCCTACCAGTTGCAACAAGTGGGAAACAAAGAGCATATGATGCCTAAACAACACTTAGAAGACAAAAGCAAAACTGGAGTGCGGCAAGGGTAAGCCTATGCATTAAAATTGGCTATGATAACACTGGTGTTCATCCTTGAAAATCTGCTGAAAAAAAACTGCTGAAAAAGTTTCTGGCAGAAAAAGATGCAAAGAAGGAGCCAGATGAGTCTCCATTGGGAAAACATTCCAGAGCATGGCACATTCTTGTGATTACCCACTGAATCTCCTCAAATGATCTTGCTATGTGCATGCTGACCCATGTCATGAACCAGGTTTCTCCCTTCTCCCTTCCAAAACAACACACCATTCTTTGGCAAAAGCCCTTTATTCTCTGGTGCACTAGTGGTAAACACAACCAACAAAGAATGAGTCTCTGAGCATGCACAGTGCAGTTCATTGATTCCAGTTGAGCAACTAATTCTGAGCATCCTCTTTTTGAGTATCTCTGAGCCCCTTCCCTCTGGAATAGCCCTTTGGGAGACAGGCGAGCCTCTTCTCCGTCTGTTGGTTTGTCTCTTCCCAACATCACATCATGGGGTTAGAGTCATATCAGGCTTGGCTGGCTGCAGGAGTTCTTCTCCCATGCCCCATCCCTGCAGTTATGAATCTTGTCAATTCTCAACATTTGCCGGAACACCTGGGGTAGGTACCCCTGAGATAAGCCCCTCTGCTTCTTCCATTTCAGCGACTGAGAGTTCTGGTTCCCAGGGCTCCTTCTCATCTGATGAGGTGAAATCTGATTGACCCTGGAACACATGCCAAGAATAACTGCCCCTTTCATTCTCAACAGCAACTTAGCTAATGCCAAAGGATAAGATGGTGGCATTGAGGTTTAGTTCATTCTGAAATTGTGCAGAGAAAACATAACAATTTGCTCCATCACCATCTTGGTTTATTTCCCAACTCCATACATTGTAAAAGCATGCATATTTATTAGACCCTTCCAGATGAATTTCAGCTGTGGTTAATTCAGTTCTTTCTATATAATCTCTGTGCAGTGCACCCTTGGAAAATTCTTCCTCCTTGCATTGTCCCAGGATGCCTAGTTTCTTTCCAGTTCTCTAAATCAGTATTCCTCAAATTGGTTGGACTACAACTCCCAACACCTCCAGAGACTGTGAAAACAAGCCACAGTTTGTGTAATCTTGTATGTCAGACACACCTGAGGTAGGGCAAAAAACTATGTGTTACTCATAGGTTAAATAAATTTACAGCATCATATGCAAACTATGTCAGGATGTTCATGTTTACACAAACTGTGGCTGTTTTTATCTGTTTTTTAGCTGTTTACCTGTTTTTATCTGTAAGGGATCTTTTCCCCTGCACTCCACCTGGGAGCAATCCATGGACTGTTAGACTAGTTTCCATTATGTTGTACTTTCCCTCATTTTGTCTTTTCCTTTCCTCGTTGTAACTATAAAGGTGTCTGTCAGAGAAGCAAGAGCTATTTTTCCACAGAGAGCCCTTCAGGGCCAGGAACATAGATAATATGTATGTGCCTATAGAAGTCTGTGCATTTCAGCAAGACAAGAAATCCTGCTTTAGAGATGATAGGTGGCTGTGAACACTACGAAGAGAGGTGACAGGATTTGGGAAGTCAGGGTGGAAAGGAGAAAGATGGTGCCAGAACTAGTTAGCTGGTTGGGACATTGGAGCCTCCTGTAATGGATCCAGATCTGCTGATCTTACAGCAGAAAAACTCCATTTGGAATTATACAGTTTGAGTTTATGCTGGCAGGTCTGCCAAGTGTGGGAGCAAAAGGATGAGGTTGCTTCCTGGTTAGTTACTGGAAATGTCTCCTCCTCCTCCTCTTCTTCAAGGGCTTTTTCCTCCCTTCCAACTATCTTGCCTTTTCTGCACTGCTGCTTCTTGCAACTGCAACTATCCACTGTTCTTGAAAAAGAACATGACACCCCTAGCACCATGCAAGCTGAATTTGACCCAGGGAACTGCTACAGAGCACAAAGGTGGGCAAATTTAGCTTGCAGATGAGTGGCATGTGACCCTTGGAGGAGCATTATGGAGAAATTTCCCCCCCACACACACACACATGTTACTGGCAAGTAGTGATTTGTTTGGATGGGGGGTGCTCTATATACTCTGTGGCCTGTGCAATTTAAATGCCCTGGATTTCCTGCAGTTGTTTCCCCTCACAATACACACAATATGGTGCATATTCTGTTGAATACAAAGGGACTTATTTTCCAAGTAAAAAGATAGTGCTGCCTGTTACAGAATTAACTATGCATAAAGTTGAATAATGACCAATCTGTGGGATGTGGGGTGGGGTGAGTGCTGGCTGGCAAAGAGCAAACCTGGAATCACTTTCCCTCCCCATCTTGGAGAATAATTCTTAGCCAAAGGCAGGCACTGTGACTAGACAATAAATGGCAGTTCTCCACCTTTAATTCATAACATACACATTCAGGCCCCATTATCCCACCTCAATCTTGAACAAGAGGAAAACACCCTTGAGGCCAAGATGAGATAATAAGGCTTGTTGGAGCCTGGTCATTTCAAAGCTGGAGGACAGAGAGTTTGCAAGGAGAGCTGCCCTCTGAGAGCTGAGCATGGCTGCCCCTCGGGGCATCTTCCATTCAGGAGGTGGCTTCCTGCCTTTCTGGGCTGGAGTTCTGACAGGGCTTTGTTTCATCAAACAGTTGACACACTTTCCTTTTAAGTCCCTGGCAACAGTCCCTTTATCTTCACATACTCTCATCCCAGAAGTGTTCCATTTGGACAGGTCAGCTGTCACAGCAAGAGGGAGACTGGGTGACCATGCCTTTTTTTGCTCAGGGTGGACTCCCCTTCCAGCTGCAGTCCTGCTGCAGCTTCAGCTCTGGGGGAGGTGACAGTCCATGGGCCGACAAGCACCCCCAGCTGTGACTCACCGCCTCGTGGCTTCGTTGGCCGTTTCCTTCCTCCTCCACACTTCTGTTCTTCTGGCTTTGCACATTTGTGGGTCACCTCTCCTCCCACATTCCAGGGGTGCTTCCATGTGCTGTTTTTATCCCCTTGTGTCCCCTTACTGATATCTGTCACCAGTTCCTGGAATCTTTCCTCCTTTGGTCTTTGTTCCTGTTCCCCCACACCAGAAATCCAGTCCCTTGTGTACACCAGCCTCCTGTTCTCATATGTCTTCCCCCTTCATGGCCAGCATTTTTTAGCTTCTGCACCTGAACTCGATTTACCTCAAAAGGGAACAATGCTATCAATGCAGAGTAAGAGAGGCAAAGTTGTCACTTGAACCAAACCCATGAGCTCTTTTACTTAGAACAGAAGTAGAGCTGGAAGGCACCTGTAAGGCCATTGAGTCCACCCCCTCCCCCGCTTCCACATGTGGTCACCCGTCCGGCTGCATCCTGTGCCCTTCCAGCTTAGCAAGAGTGACTTGACACGCTACTGCAAGATGCCGCTTGCTCCAAGCAGGTTTTCTCTGCCAGGGCCACCCCAACAAAACAACCAATGTTTTCCCTTTCCCACTCCTGCCCCTCCTAAACCTCTCCCGTTGGAGTGCACAGACCACCCTGCCACTGCACTGCTCTCTTCTTCAGGGGCCTTTCTCTGTGTGTTCCTGCCATCTGGGCTGAGGCAGGTGGCCACTGGGCAAGGCAACTGGGTGGGGTCCCTGGGAAACCCACCCAAGTGTCCCCTTGAATGTCTTTTAGGCACCAGGCCAGGCAAAGAGCTTTCTGCTGCTTGGGCTTTTACTGTTTGAGGAGCTTCACCAGCCAGTTTTATTCTACCTACCTTAACAGAGGGCTGTACTTGGTTGTATTTTTATATTTTTCTTGCCAGTTGCCCTGGGAATTAATGTACTGAAGAGTGTTATTTTAAAAATGAATAAAGAGACTAATAAAAATTAGAAATTCCTAGGACACCTCAGAGACAAAATCTAAATTGGAGGTTTTTCATATTAGCAAAATGTTTGCCGGTGGAATTTGGGATCCGGAGAAACAAAAGAAACACTCTCACTCATTATACATCTATATGTTATGATTTAAGGTATTTTGTGTTATGGGAAACCTGGGGAGTTCTCATACCTGCTTTTGTCCCACAGAGATGATTTACAGGCACACAGCTGTCATCGATGGAGAGATGGTACATTTTGAAATTCTTGACACGGCCGGACAGGTATGGTTCTGCATGCCCCACCTCTTGTCGAGCAAGGAAAGGCACAGAAAAGGACAAGCAAAATGCTTGAGGAGCTAGGGAAGCTCCCAATGGAGAAAGGTTGCAGCACTGGGGGCTTTTTAGTTTAGGAAAAGGTAAGGAGAGACATGCATAGAATTATGCAGAGTGTGAAGGAAGGGCATGGGGAGATACTGTTTTTTCCCTCGCACAGTGCTGAAAACGGGGGTATCCCATGAAGCTGAATGCTGGAAGATTCAGGACAGATAGCAGGGAGTACTTCTTTACATGGAGTATAATTAAAAGTGTAAAATTCAATCCGTACCTGTTGGACGGGGTGGCTGCAATGCAGCCTCCCATATCAGAGGCAGAGTGGCTCTGTCGACAACTTACTACACAGAGCAGCAAAGGGAAAGGGCGACTTGCTTCATGCCCGGCTGTGTTTGCGAGCATGTTGAAGCATCTTCCCTGTCCGATGCCTATATAGGGGTTTACAAATTAGCCATGCAAAATCCAACATCGGTACAGTGAAGTAATATAAAAGGACATCCTACGAAATGTCTGCAGAGGATTTCCAGCCGTACGAAAAACCAGAGGCATTTGGGTGATGCCTCTCTGTGAGAAACAGGATGCTGGACTAGGTGGACCTTTGCCTGGATCTAGCAGGGGCTCTTCAGATGACTAAAGATTAGCGGAGGGCGTCACCAGCAGTTGTGCAACCTCTTCCTTTCAGCCTGACATCACCTTATCAAAGTATGCAAAACATATTTGGTTTCATAGACTTGAGGTTTGGCTGTGATAAAACCTGTGGGGTTGCCAGATAGGGGGACATATGAAAGATGAGGTAGGGACAAGAGTGAACAAAGAGTCAGATGGCATGAAATTCAAACACTCATCAAAAAAGAGAAGAAATGGTGTGCATGAAGAGAAGAGCTGGTGTGTGTGGGAGAGAGCAAGAGAGAGTGTGCACAGACATGCCTGCTTGCTCGTGTGCTGAGAGTTTGAGATTAGTCTGGATTTAACAAAGAAATCCTTCATCTTTATGTGGCCAACAAGAAGAGGTTCCTTTGCAAGGGTTAGAAGCTGGGAGGATTCAGAGGACAGATATCAAACCCTGAGATCAGAAAGAAAAATCATTAAAGTCAATGCAGAGGTCTGATGAAAGTTTCCAACAGGATGTTTGGGTCTGGAGAGTGTTTCATGCCAAAAGGCACTGGGGTTAAACATACAAATAAAAAATGAAGACCCACTTCCCTTATAGGGTGAGTTTTGTAGTTCCAAATCTGGAATACAGAGAGAGGCCAGATAAAACTGGAATTTGTGAACAGCAGTGAAGCTTCTTGTGGCTCCTCCGGTGCCTTTTTCTGTTTTAAGCCATCAGCGTTCCCTGTTCAGATGCCCAGCAGGCTTTCTGGCAGAGATGTTTGGATATTAATTCTTAGAATGCAGGAGGACATTTAGCTCATCAGTTCCTAAGAACCAAATACAATCAGGCAAGATCGGTTCTTAGATGGTAATTTTTTAATGGTGTGTTTCAAGAGAAGGGATTCTCTTGTTCTGAATTAATTAACTTCAAATTACCATGTTGTGCTTCTGCTTTAAGAGTTAACCTACCACCCAGAAATAGAAATAAACAAACATGGGAGGTAGGAGGGAGATGAAATGGTTCTTTAGCCCTCCCAGATGAAGTGGGCAGTTAAACTGCATTAAAGGGCAAGGAGGATGTGTATCTTGGGTGTTTCTCACTCAAGGGCATGTAACACTACCACTGACAAGGCATCAAGCAGCAGGATCATCTCTTTGTCCTTCATGGATTTTGTACAGTAAGGGAAAAGGTGGAAGAAGTGGTGGGAAAAAAGCAGGATGTTTCAATTGAAAGATGACGGCATCTGGACTGCCTTGTAAGATTCAGTGAATGGGGCAGGTCAATTGTAGGAGAAATGCTTCTAGCTTAACAGAGATGTGGTCATACTGAGAGTTTACCCACTGAGACCAGTGGGACCACAGTTAATCATGACCAGTGTAAGTCAGGTATGGCATCAAGGGTAGGCAGGGATGGGCTCCTGAAAGGGAATGCAACCTGGTAGGGGCTTGCTGAGAAGCACCCCCAGGCCTTGCTCCTCCACTTCCCTGCTCCAGCCTGCACACCCCCTGCCTCTTTGCCTGCCAAGCCAATGGTCACAGGGACAAGAAAGAGGATAAGCAGCAGCAGTTGGTGACAGGGTCAGTGAGAAGGCAGACTTGCTGAAGAAGACACCCTTTGGGGGTTTCTTGTCCTAGGGCCCTGAAAAACCTGGAGCCAGCACTACAAATTGACAAAATCTCAGTCCAGCTCCTTGTCTGGATTTGCCCCTTCTGATTGTGTCTTTGGATTTTGTTCCAACTAGAAGCCACCAATTTCAGTCTCTTTGTTGGCCAAAATACATACCTGGTAGCAGACTTAAGCTGGGTGTTGGGTCACCAATGAAGACCAGCCAAGTGGGAAGCAGTTAACAAGCCGACCTCCACCTGCTGCTGTTCCACTGACTCTGTGGCCCCTTTATTTTCCCCAGGATATGGTAATCACAACAGATACCATCCAGGCTGGGGGAAAAGCAAGCAGAGAGAGACAGTTCCAGGGGAAGCTGTCTGCAACCTCCTCCCGTCCAACTGGATGTTTGATTCTTTTCCTCTGTTTGTATCGGCCTTCTCAAACATGATATCCTCCAAATGGTTTGGAGGACAACTCCTGGTGTTCCTTACCATTAGCCTTGCTGTGTGGGGCTGATGGGAGCTGAAGTCTAAAACATCTGGAGGGCACAAGGTCAGGCTCTTGTGTGTAGATGCAAGAAGCACATTGCAAAAAAGCTGCCATGTTGATACTGCTTTCTGATTCTCCCTTCTGCCCTAGGAGGAAGATTCTCTGCAAATTGAGGAGAAGATTAAGTGGGGAGATGGCTTTGCTGTGGTTTACTCTGTCACTGACAGGTGTAGCTTTGATGAGGTCATGAGGCTCTGCTTTCTCATCAACCACATCCACTCCAGCCCAAAGCGGAGCAGTGGCAATGGAGAGCCGCCCGTGGTGATTGTGGGGAACAAGAAGGACCTGCAGTTCGACCGAATGGTGTCCTCTGAGGATGGTGAGAACCTCTCCAAGGCCTTGAAGCACCCCTTCTATGAGATCTCTACCAGGGACAGCTATGAGGAGACTGTGACAGTTTTCCACACCTTATACAATGAGCTGATGAAGCAAGGGCTTTTCTCCCCAGGGACTTTCAAGAGGCGAGCTGTGTCCAAACTGATGGAGAAGATCCCAAAAATCCATGCTAACTCAACCCTGACCTCAGGTGGCAGGAGCCTGAGCTTCAACTCCTTCAGAGACTACATTCCAGAGTGAACTTTTCCCATTGGCTGCTGTGAAGTGATGATGCATGCAGGGGCCAGCAGGAGTTAGGAAGGAAGAGGCTGCAGAACTGGTTACATGGCCAGCCCAGAGGCCTGGATGGTTCAGGAAAGGGCACCCTTCTTCTTAAACCAGGGAGCTCAGAGGATGAACCTAGACTTATTAGAGTAGGGGTGCTGCTGGATCAGAGCAGAGGTCCATGTGGTTGAGCATCCCACTTTCCCTGGTGGCCAGCCAGATACATCTGGGAAGCCAACCAGCAGAATGTGAAGGCAAGAGCCTTCCTCAGCTCTTGATCCTGAGCAGTTAGTCTTCAGAGTTAAGCTGTCTCTATGCTTACAGGTTTCATTCAGCCATCGTGTTCCACAACCACTGAACACCCTGATCTACCCATGAAATTGTCTTCTATTTTCAAGCCATCTATGGTAGAGCACATCACTGGATCTTGCGGCAGCATGTTCCATCCTTAAGGCTGACACATAGCACTTTTTTCTTTAGAGATTAATCTTTTAGATCCCAGGTGGAGGGTTCCTGTGAAAAGTCTTTTGGTTGGCTGGAATTTCTTTCCAATTCTGGAGCCCACCAAAACCAGGAAAACTGGTTGCCATTGCAGAAAAGAACTTGGGTGCTGAGTTCAACAGCTCAGCCTTGCTGAATATCAGCCTCTTTTATATGGGATGGAGTTTCCAAGAAATGGCTAGAACACTGATTAAAGTCTGCCAGGTTCTTGCTGGTACATTGCTCCACTGGCACAGCATTCACAACTCAGTCCAACCTTTTCTACAGTGGATCGAGCCTGCCGGCATCAGCTTTGGATGCCGTACAGCAGCACTTGAGAATATTGAAAACATTGCCTTGGGTCGAGATTTGGGCAGGGGGGAAAGGTGGGCAATTCTCTATATTTGGTTCTAATGGTAACGTGGAACTTCATGGCAGGGGGCAGACAATGATTGCAGGCAATGTGGCATCCACAGAATCACCGAGCTGTAGTAGCCAAATGCCTGCAGGAAAAGGTCCTACAGCTCTGCACATGCCCCAGCCAGCATGGGTCTGCTGATAGGCTTGTGCCCCGACAAAGCTCCCCACACTCTACCTGGAGACCCTGCTAAATAAGTCGAATAACAATACTCCAAGATCTTCTCTGTTTTCTTGGTGGATAGATGCCACTAGCAGGGCACAGCAGATTTCTCTGAAGCCACCTTAGCGTGTTTGTTCATCTAGCCCAACACTGTTGACCGTGACTGACAGCCACTCTCAGCATTTCACGTGCCTGTCCTCTGTCAAGGCTTTATCCAACATGCTCATTCCCTGTTTTAAAAACAAAGTTAAGTGGGATTGAACCTGGAACTGTTTGTGTGCAAAGGCTGTGCTCTGCCTCTGTGGGAGGCGCTCTCCCCGGGTTCTTCTTCCTTCCTTCTTCTTGGAAGGCTGCTTCTGCCATGCTAATCTTCTGTTCAAAGGCTCCCAAGCATTTACTGTTGCGAAAGGGGAGAGGACTGATTCATCAGCTCCGCTTGCTCTGCAAAGGTTTCTGCGTTGCTTATCAACCTGAAACATGGCAGCCTGCCTGCCACCCACCCACCCAGCTCCTTCTCAGAGGGGCTCACAGGGCTTCTGTGTGGGCTATACAAAGAAGCTCCTTGTGTCTCAAACACGCAGATATTTTATGTACACCTTGAGGGATCTTTCTGAAAATAAGAAACATGCCTGTTCGTATTTCTCTGGCTCTGGATCAAAACCTGAGGACTGTTTTGCTTATCTTTCTAGTGTCTCATAAGAGATAGACCTGCCGTCTCTCAAGGAGTTGAAAAGGTGGCCTTCCCTTGAAATCAAGTTAGCTCTCAAATCAAACATTTTTGCTTCACTCCTCTTGCCTTGTAGCTGTGTGGCTTTGTAATTGCATTTCATATGGTAAAATTGTATTAAATTATCTTCTACTGTGGTCTAAAGCAGGAGGAATATGCATACAGTACAGAAAATAGGATTTAGCAAAATGTAAAAAGGGTTAGTGACACGTTTAAATGCACGAAGGCCAGAACTAGGTGCTGCTGTCCCCAAAATCTGGAGCTTTGGGTTGGTGCTTCTTCCAGCTAAGCAGATGCACGGCCTGTCCTGTATTGAGCTGCAGGTTCCTCTGTGCCCACTGCACTCCACTGCCTTGACTGTTTGCACTGGCCAAATTCAGTGGGTGCAACTATTCTCTGTAGGGAGAGGAATGTGTTATGCCTGCCTGCCATGTAACCATTCCTGATGGATGATGAAAAGAACAAAAAAGATGGGACGGCAGTGGATTTAGCACCACAAACATGGCTTGAATACCCAGGGATTCAAACCCGGCCTTTAAAAGCAAACACTCAACGCCTGGATGGATGAATCTTCCTACTTTCTGCTGGGGTTTCTTTTGACCTGAGGTTCTTTCCATCTTGTTTATGGAGACATTTGTGAATTTTGGTAAGCTCTTAGTAAAAAAAATGAACCAAACAAAACTCACCCATCCCATCATGGCATATTGATTTCAGTGCGAGCCAAGGACAAATTATTTGGCCTGTGGGTTTTAAATTCCATTCTTTTATGTATATAGAACAAATCTGCAGTAAATAAGCTGACTGCCATTACTAAGCCACTGCTTTACCCACTAGCCCTCACTCCTATGACACTAGCTTAAGTGCCCATATAAAGGCCTCAGGAACTAATTTGTCCTCCTACATCCTGTTTTTTTCCCAGACATGGAGGAACTGCATGGACCAAAGCAGCCTTTGGAAGTGGAGGTTATGATCAGATCAAGCATGCCATTCCTCATCAGAGAGCAACCTGGTGCCTGCCACTCCCAGAATTTCTGCTCCTTGGCTATGCTTCACTGGGGCTGATGGGAGTTGTAGCCCATAATATCTGGCAGCACTCAGCTGGGGAAGGCTGCCGTAGCACCCAACCGCAGGAGCTGGGTAGTGGCCGGGGAAAAGGCGGGCATTTTTTCCACTCCTGATGTCCCTGTGGCTACCGCAGGAAGCCAGCTCTGCAGATTGTGCAGCCCGTAGTGATATCTCAGGTAGCCACATGGACCAAGGGAGGCCCCTGTGTGTTGAACTGCCAGCCTACCCTGGGCTGTGAGTACAGGGAAGTCTGAAATAGTCGGTCCAGTGCCCAGAAGTAGAGCTGTCTGGACAATTTGTCAGTCACCATTTGGCCTGCTCCTGTGTTTTCTTTCAGAAGGGGGCATTCACACAATGACGGAATTTACAACAAAACTTCTCTCCTTTTATTGTTGTCTAAGGTTATTAAAGAAACCATTCTTTGATTAACTACTGGCACTTGGAGCTCAGTAACAATGGCCAGAATTAGGAGCGTGGTTTTCTATTTTCTCCTAAATTAGCATTGTTCTGTTGTGATTACTGCAGCTATCTCAAGAGAAAGGGCAATTTGAAATAAATTTCTCTTCAAATTGAAACTGTTAAAGGACATAAGAACCAATCCAGAGCTCTGTTAAAAAGATGGGAGGGTGGAAACTCTCCGTTCCCTTTCTCAAGATACTGAGCGCTTTCAGACAAGGCTTTTAATGTGCAAATTGCCCTGCCTCCTTCGGAGACTTTTAGGGAGAGTCCAGGTGTTGTCTTCCATTTGTAATCCCTTTCAGTTTCTCCACTGTTTCATTTTATTTTACTGGAAAAAATCCATTAAGGAAGAAAGCTGGAATAGCTGCACCATGTATTTTGATAGGTAGCCGTGGTTGCCCTGTGCCTGAAAGCACTTCTGCTTTAACACAGGAACAGATTTCAAAAGCTAAAATGTCAGTTTGTTATTGGTTTCTCCCCTCCTTTTAAGTAACCTGGAAGCACTGGGCAAAGCCTACCTATTTGTGAAATAGACTTATAAAATGGTTTGCTTGTGCAATAAAATGCTCGATGTGTTTGTCCCCACTCACACAAACCCACATTCAGGGATTCTGCCTTTCCCAGGTGACCTGTCTAAGAACTGAACTCTGTTTGATAGCTGTAGGTAGTATTTGAGAAGACTGTACTTTAAGACATGATTGTCAGTATTTGTTTTCATTAAATGATCCTGGCAAAAGAGGCCAGATTGACTAACTCCTGTGAGGGCAACTCTATATATGAGTGTTGTTTTTTACAGCCATATCACAGCTAAGAATAGCATTTCTTTCACTATTGCTGGTTAATGGATTCTTTTGAAGCATCATAGGCAAAATACTTGCTAGGAGCTGTAAGTTGACCCTATCTGGGGTATAATGTGGATATTCTACTGCAAATGAAGATGTTTTACATAATCATAAAAGATTACCAAAATCAAACCACTGTTGCCCTTTGCAACCCCTTAGATGCCCTTTACTCAATTTTATAACATCTCAGAGTTAAAAAATCCCACGTCATTACTGGTCACTGAAGATGCTGTGCTGCCATTTTCACAAATACGCATGGATAAACCTTCAGCCTGCTTACGCTGGCTTGCGCTCAGCACTGTTGCTCATGTAGTCACTTGCTAGGGGATAAATGCCATCTCCCAACAGCTGTTTCCAACAGACAAAGCTGCCTGTGCAATAAATCCTGAGGGTGCAAATGCTGGATATTGTTGGTACAACAGCTATTTGATACAATCAAGATTGAACAACAATATCCCCCCCACCCCACCCAGGAAGTCAAGGATGCCTGGTTCCTTTTAAAGAGATGAATGCAAACTCTTGAATGTGTACCTTGCCCTGTCAAGCGCCTCAGCAAGGCATTATATGGAATTGTCTGTCCCCCCACCCCCACCAGGTATAACTCACCTCCAGGTATAATCCCCAGCTCCAGCTCCAAGGTACTACACCCACTGGATCCAAGTTTTGGGGACTTAGGAGAAGGCTGCTTATGGTCCTTCATGTGGCCAGTACAACTACCCATTGACTTGCATAGAGAACTGATAGATGCACATATGAGGAAATGGGTAATGAAGAAGAGGTGCAACATCTGCCTATTCTGGGACAAGGAAGTTACATGAGTGATGGGAGCTCCTGACCCTTGCCATGGCTGCATTTGCTCAACTGGATGGCTTGGCAGATGAGTGAATGAGCCGACTCTGATGGAAGTGGGGAGCTGCCATGGGGAGAGGCTGCCCAAGCATGCTGGCATGACCATGAAGCAGAACTACCTTTTTGTAGAAATGCCATTAATGGTGCGGACAGGCACATGCTTTTTCTTTTTGCTTGTGTTCACCTGCAAAAATGGTGCAAGAAATCTTGATGAAGAGTGAAGAAAAATGGTCACCAGGGGCTCATTGTAGGAGAGGTTATGATGATGCTGTGAATTAAACCTTTCTCGGTTAATTTCCTTTTTGGAAGGTCGGATGTAGCACAGCTGCAGTGTGCCACTCCAGTTCAGAATTTGCATTTAAGGAAAGAACATTCTGATGTGAAGGTGATTGCCTTACAGTGCATTCTATTTATTTTTAAGCTGGTGCTGAGAAATGCCACAGTTCCAGGAAACAAAACCCTCTTCCAGAAACCACCCACAGTGATTTCCTCAATGATCTCCCATGCTGCCTTAAAGGATGCCTCCACTGAAACCCTTGAGCACAGATGTCTCATTAAAGTGCTAGTCAGTGTAGGGCCTTAAGGATCCGTTGAGGTGGGCGAGGAGCTGGTAACTGAGTCAAGGTTCAACATTTAGCTGAGAAACAGTTGCAGTAGATGCTGTTGTCCAGCCAAAGCTCCAGATTCATTTGGAGGCTTCCAGTTGTAGAAAAGGGACAGCCAGTAGTTGGCCTGAAACCTCAGAATGGCCCAGGGGCTACTTTTCTTTTTTAGGTCTGGGCCATTAGCGCAAAGGGCAGGAGCAACAGCTCCGTAGATTCCTGGTTCAGGATTAGGGAGGGCTCTGTTGGGCTCTCTGCACCAAGGCCTGAGTATCATTTATGATAGTATGACACAAAGAATTAATCTCAAAGTGAAATAATTTGCATGTAAAAATCGGTTGTAAGGTTACTTGTTCCATCACCTATTTGTCTTGCCCGGCTTTAAACATAGAGATCACAGGCAAGTAGTTACATGCTGACAACCAAAACCAAGATCCACAACCTCCTATGCATCAAAAGGTCCATGCAACCAGTTTAGTGGGATGCAGAAGAGCATTGCAATGTGGGGTGGGTGGGGGGGATGTTTGTTCATTCCAGATGTTCATCTGTTACACAAATGGGAGGCTGTTTCCATGCATGGATCTGCCTTGTTAGAATGGGATCTCATTATTTTGTGCAGCTTGATAAAAATTAGAACATCAGGCACAGTTTTTTCTGAGGATAATTTGTTGCGGCAGACTAGCTAGAAAGCCCTTCTAAATCACCTGGCTTAGTATATTGATTTGTTGTGGTTTTAAGGATTTACCATCTTCGAGTATGATGACTCAAGGGCCAGCTTTCAGTCAATGATTTGATTTCCTGAGTATTCATTTGACTACATCTGAATTCTCCTGTTCATTGCAAGTCTGACCCCAGAATTGTCAGAGCGTATTCTTACAGAATTACTACTCTTTGCTTGGACAGGAAATTCCTCATAGCATACAGTTTTCTATTCATGTTACAGAGATTATATAACTTGCAATTAAGGAATGAAGACAGCCATAAGCAACTGTAAACAATGGCGTGGCTGGGTACTTTTCCAAACATGTGAACAAAATTTTTGAATTTCTTTAACAGTCAGAGCTTGTGTTTCATTCTCTGCAAGGTAAATGGTTCTCTTTGGTATTGTGAGTGTGCATTCTTCATTGTATTCTTTGTGAAACATGCACCAACAACAGATGAACACTGCATAAAGTGCCATCATTGTAGGCTCTATATGAGTTTCCCTGTTTATTCTCATTCTCGGAAGGAAATCTAATTTGCTGGAAGTTCCCCCGCTTGGAGATTTTTTATTTGTATCTTAAGAGTTCTTTCTCTAATCTCCATTTCTAGTTCTTACTGAAGAAAATAAAAATTTAAAATACAGCATAAGACTGTGAACCTACGAAGTCTGGAGTACCCACCTTAGGGCATGATCCTGTAGGTTGTACTTGCAATAGTTGTAAGTCGACAAACTCGGTGAGTGCTCACCCAATGCAGGGCCGAGGAGAGGTGGCTTCCCCCATCTCCTGCCCTGCATTTGGGGGTGGGGGGGTTGCCCATCTAGAGATGGTGCTTCAGAGAGGGAGAAAAGGTGGCTGGAAGAGTGCCAGGGTAGTTCTCAGTCTCCTCCCCTCTCTGAGGCTGAGCTCCCACCTTGAATGGCTGCTCGTGGGCCAGCTGCAAGGGCGAGGAGACCGGGTCACCACCCCGCAGGTCCATGGCCAAAGCACTGTTTTGAAACTGATTTGGGAAAATCAGTATTACGGATGTGGGGGTTTCTGATGCCACCCAGTGCTGAGCAGGTGTGATGTTTCCCGCCCAGCATTCAGGGAAAAGAGCAAAACACTGAAAGGTGGTGTGAGTTCATCAACTTTCTTTCTGCTCCCCTCACAATTCTCTGCATTCCCTATATGCACCTGGACCAGTCATGTCATCCTTCCAGTTGTGGAGGAAAGCTTGAATATCTCTATGTAGCGATGTTCTAAAATCTCAGAAACATCACATAGGTAAAATCAAAGTGGCTCGAGTAAAACTAACCTGGAGTTGAATCCAGATTTATACTGGGCCAACTGTGCAGACAGGAGTGACTCTCCCTGTCCCTCGCTTCCCACAGCAGCCCTCCAGCACAGTCAGAAAACGCTGCTGAATGGAGTGAGGTCTGTTGAGAGGACAGGCCATTCCCCCTCTTTGGGAGGAAGCATTGTTCCCTCATGGAGCTCTTTCTCTTGCAGAAGGGAGATCCTGAACCCAGCCTTTGTTGCCGCTGCTCAAACCTTGTTATTTTCATGCCACTCTCTTTTGAGTTCAGTAGCTAAATGCCATCACTTTCAAGCTCCATTTGGGGTCAACATGACTCACAAACATTTGAAAGGCCAACGGGGTCTCTAGGAATGCTGCTGCTGAGAAAGGCCTCTCACACAACTGGGCGCTCCCGGACTGTCTCCTGCCTCACTCTGATGGCAGGTAAGTTGTGGAACTGACTTTGGTGGCTCAAGGGGTCAGGGCTGGCCCAGGAGACTTGGTTGCCTGAGGCAGAGCAGTGGGTGCCCCAGCCCGTCAAGGTGTACGGCACACAAGCCAGTTCTGTTCTCTAGACACTTGCAGCAGAACAAGTGCCCCCACCCCTTTCCAGCAAATAGAATATAATCACTGTGTAGCTAGCCAGCGGCTGCCCTCTCTTGATGGCCAAGATCTGCTGGTGGAGACCTCACTCTGCCAGATGGTAGGACAGTCCTTTCAGGACAGCAGCAAGCAAGGACAACACTTACCTGAGTCACAGGAGATCCATACGGGTGAGTGGGTTGCGGGGACTTTTAAATACTGATGTGGTGCATCAAGCAGGACTGAGGCCCAGGGCCCAGTCGGCAGGAGTGAGGGAGCTTTCCAAAGGCAGCAGGGCTGGCTTGGCACACGCGGGCAGAAGTGATGCAATGCCCATTGCCATTTGAAGAGGGTTGGTCCTGTCAGGCCATCCAGTCGAAAGACTGAAATGACCTAACCGTACCATGGAGCACAGCTACTGCATCCACCCAAGTGGCAGCTTTACAGCCAGCAGAACTGGGCAATCGTGCAGACTTGCTCAGGCACACCAAGCGGGTTCATCACAATGACTGCAGATGACCTGGAAGCCATCCTGAAAACCAACCTGGAATAATTCCCATCTTGCTGTGTCCATTACACTTAGCAGCAAACTGGTACAATGAAAGATTCTGAGTTATGTTTGTGGAGTTGTTCAGTCCCAGAGAATACTTTCTTAAAATAAAGATGCATTTACTCTCCTTGCGGGGATGAAAGATAAGAGACCTTGGCCAGTCTAACACAGATTATTTACAATCAGTTGAGTCAGCATGTCATTATTACCATGCCAGAAAAGGCATTGTGTGCAGCCAGAGAGCAAAGGTTTATTTGGCTTGGGCTGCTCACACGTATAAAAACCAGCTGCTAGCAACATTAGGCAAAGTTCCTCAGCCCCACAAGGTGAAGCTACTCAGCACAGCCC